ATAGAGCACGCAGGTCCAGATATCTAGTGGGAACACTTTTCCGCGCAAGCGGTTCGAACAGTATGCATCGATCTACCGAATCAAACGCACTATTGAAGTCGAGTAATACAGCTATAGTCGGTCTGCGGTATGTGTGTCGCTGATCTAGCACCTGCCGTAGAGTGAATACGTGATTAATACGGCCACGTCCTGGGCGGCAGCCTGCCTGCTCTTCCCTAGTCCGTGCTTTCGGTTCCACAGTGAGGTGACGAACGAGAATCGAGGCCAGTACTTTTGTCACAACTGGCGTTAGGCTAATACCGCTGTGGTTAGAACAGTCCGCGCGACTGCCCTTCTTGTATTTTGCCACTATGATCGATTCACTCCAGTTAGCCGGGACTGTTTCCTCCTTCTACACACGTTCGAACGAGGTCCGTGCTTTGCAGAAGACTTCATTTTCATCCATATATAGTGTATTTGGGAGAGAATCCGGACCAGCAGCACCTAAACGATTGACTGTGATTGTGTTACGGATCTCGGCCTCGGACAGAGGCTCTAAACTAACCGTCCATGGCTCGTCCTGCATCACCTAAGTAAGAAGAGGTCCGGGAACAGGTAGCCAGCTGAACTAATCTTAAAAGTATTCCGCCCAGTGAGCCATACTTATTGTGTCGCAACACACCCGCGTTATCTCTGATTGTCTCACTGACGCCTGGTTTCCCGGAACAATTGGTGCGAATTAGCTGGAAGAGCTTGCGATAATGGCCTACTCCTCCCACCACCATTTCTTGAGCCCGAATGGTGCACCGGGCTTCCTTGTCAGCACGCAGGTTCCGCTTTAGTTAGCGCCTAATAGTCCGTCTGGTCATGTTGTACTCAGCTCCAGCCGGTAGTTTTCTTCCGGATGCAAACAGATGCACCGCCCTCCCGGATATCCAGTGACTGGTACGGTGAGGATTGATAGTGCCACAAGCAGATACTCCTGCGTCCTGCATGGTGGACCTAGATTCCATTCCGCTTAGGCTTAGTGTCATTATGACAAGACATCGAAATTTCGACACGCAGTGCTTCTTGTTAAGCTTCCCTGACCGAGAGCTGAGACAATTTCTGTTGCCAATCGGAGGAGTCCCTCGGTGCACCTGCCGGTAAAGTTCACGGAGGAACGAAAGATTACCAAGTCATGACCATAGAAGACGCAGGTATTCCAGAACGGGCGGTAATCCAGCATGGAACCACGGCACCTGTGTAACTTTGGGTCCATCGCTGGCCATCTAGAGGAGGACGACAAGTGGCACTTCAACGCCCACCGTGACTGAAAGAAATGATACTATGAAACAACTGGTGCTCCGCACATAGTTGCAAAAAACAATCGCCGTTGTCCGTACGGTTGGGGTTTAGCCCATACTTATCACCTAGCTGAACTTCTGAAGAGCTTAGGCGACCTAATTGTACGTTCATATCCCCTGCAAGCATTATGCCATCTGAACTGATAGCACTGCACATTGGCGTGTTCAGTTTTTGGTAGAATGCGTCCTTGGCAGCATCAGAACTGCATTCGGTGAGATTGTAAGCTGAAACCACAAACAAACATTATCTTGTACTGGTTCGTGAACTAACCTGATCGATATCATCAAACGGGCTTCATACAAACGGCTGTTCACCGGAATCCAATCAACCAACGAGGACACAGCCTTGAAGGTGAGTACTATATCTACTCCAACTTGAGCACCGGCTACCGCATCCGTGTCTCCGGATGCGTGCAGCCAATACTGAGAGAATAAATTGGGTGCAATTACTTCCACAACTCTATGAGCGTCATTGATTCTAGTTTCGGATACGTAACACACATCAATACCCAGCGTGTCTAACATGCGTGCGAGTTCAGCCTGTTGACCTGTCTTAGACCTGTCTTAGAGTGCGAACGTTGGAAACCGCCAAGGAAAAGGGACGACGTGGTCTTATAATTGACTGTTGAGCATAGGTGTCCAGTGGTTGGTGCTGAAAAGTAGCTGCAAATGGTCCGACTCCAGTGGCATTATGCTTGCTGTCAATTAAGATGGGAACTATAGAATAGAGGTTAGTAATGGGGTCGGGAGGGGAATAAGAGACATGTGGAAAAGCAAGGAGGTGCCAGCAGTAGGATTTTTCGCTTATTCGCCCTGCTGTATGCAGCAAATAAGGTGACCCATGCTCAGCTGCGCGACGGCTGACGCAGGATGAAATTTATGTTTAAAGAAAAGATCATGATTGTATGTGGGCTGAGATATTGGCAGAGCGCCCGGACCAAGAAAAAGGATGCTTAGGGTTCTCAAGTAAAGCCGTTGGCTCAGCAGCCTTTCCGCAAGGCAGTGGAGAGGTGGCAATGACATAGATTTAAGGAAATGGACACCGACCTTTTTCAACCCCCAACATGGAAGACTAGGAGACTGAATCCGTCTAACCTCTAACCACTGACCAACATGCTAAGAATATATATATATATACCAAATCTTGGGTATTATATTCTGTTACCAGAAGTATCTATGGAATTTATACGTATTATTATTTAGTCGTGGCCTTACGAATAACCCATAGTCACCCGTTATTCCTGTGGTTCAATAAGATTTTAAGCAGGCTTGTGAGTCTATCTATTTTTATTGTTCAGATTCCGGCGGAAAAAAGCGTTTTCCTAGCTTGCTATTATTGATGGTATGTTGCAATCTTCTCGCCTGGCGTGACGGATCTCTTCAACAGATCGCTTTTCGAGGGTGCATTGCCAAGCGACTGGAAATGCTGGGTAGTGAAGCCGATTCCAAAAAGCGGTGACCCACGCAATGTGGATTATTACCGGTCGATTTGTCTCACCTCTGCTTTGGCGAAGGTGCTGGGGAAGATTGTGAAAAAGGGTCTTCTCCATCTGCTGGATTCAAAAGATCTAACGTCGGCATAGCACAGCTTCATGAAGGGCCGCTGGTGTATCACCAACCTGCTGTTGACGCGCCAGGAATGGTTGCAAGCGTTTAACCGAAGGAAATCAGTAGATGTTATCTGCATTGATTTCAGTAAAGCTTTCGATAAAGTAAACCATGAGTTCCTGCTCCAAAAGCTGCGGATGTGTAGTGTTGGTGCCGCACTGCACCAGTGGATCAGTGACTTCCTTATTGAGAGAAGTTAGCGCGTTCAGCCGGATGACCACATAACGGAATGGTACCCCTCCACTAGCGGTGTAACTCAAGGCACAATACTGGGACCCATTTTACTCCTGATCCACATATACGAAGTGCCTCAGCTTCTTCGGTCGCCTTGTACACAGCTTGCAAATGACTTGAAAATTTGGTGCGTTAATGATTCTCTTGGCCACCATTATGTCCTTCAGCAGGATCACGACTATCTATCTCGGTGATCGGCATAAGTTGACCTATAGGTCAACAAGGCCAAGTCCTCGTTTACGAGTCTGGGGAGGAGTGGTAATGCGAGAACATATACCCTGACCGGTCACACGCTGCATCAGACCAGTTTCGTAAAGGATCTAGGCCTACCCTCACGCTGTGATCTGAAGTCTGCCGACAACAGGAACAGACTGTACGCAAACGTAGTACCACTGCTTTGCGCACTTAGATGCAGCTTCTGTACTTGGTCTGAAGAGATTACCACCCGTATGTACTCTTCCATGATAAGACCGGTAATTGAGTATGGCTCATTCGCCCGTCGTTCGATAACATTAGGTGAGGTGCAGAGATTGGAACGGTTCCAGCATGTAGCTACCTGGTTCATCCCAAGTTTACGGGCTACATCGTCCGAGGACCGATGTAAGAGACTAGGGCCAAATCGTTGGCTTCGAGTTGATCTCATCATGACGCACTGCGTATTGCACCTGGACCACTTCCCTATGTTGAGACCGCTGCTGCACGTTTGCGCACAAAGCAGCACATGCGGACACCGGTAAAAAGTAGTGGTACCACATTTAAAGCGCATCACACACCCTCTATGCCTCGAGCGTCGATTGGTGCAGTATTGGAACAACTTGTCGCAAACGCTAGTCGAGGCGAACTGGGCATTGGAATTTAAGCGATTCCTAGATGCCCACGTTGCAGCATATCGAATCGAGCATCGAATCGAGCATATCGAATCCGGATAAGATGTAGTGCACTTGCAATATACTGCCACCGCGCAGGAAGCAGCGACGTGATGCTGCGCATGTGCCCGATCCACCTACGATGGAGCACCACAGATTTTCATTTTATCGTCCTCTATTCTCAGTATTCAGTATTATGACTACTAGGAACATCACGGTGGACGCTGTGTCTCTATTTCATTGTCTTTTTCCCGGAGTCTCCATTCTAGTTTATAAGTATTGTTCAGTACAATTATGAGGCCCGCGCTGCTACTCTTGTCAAAAAAGGTTTAATGGCCCGTGTTATATCACACTTACGGAACATCACACCTGCGCCGCATGCCTTTTATGGGTAACTACTTCCGGAGTGACTGCAGGTTAGGTTATGATTAGGCTTCACTTCATGAGAGATCATGATGATGATACCAACCTCTTAGAATTGTTCAAGGTTCCGCATTGTTAACGATACTGAAGATCAGCCGAAGTTTACCAAGTAAAAAGGAAGCAGTTGTAGCTATACTTATGATTGGCAGCAGATCAAAAATGATAAATATGAAAACATTGGATGCCGAAGTCTGTACACCATGAATGCTTGATCCATCGGACATCGTAGGACACTTCAGTGTATAGACATCTTAAACTATGGTGATTAGACATACACAAGCACATTTCTAGGTTTCCACCTCCCTTAACAATAACAATAATAATTTCAGTCCACAGTTCCAACATATTTCAACCAAATAGTATCACCTGAAGATGAACAAAATAAGTGGACACCATCCGAGTTAGCAGTACTAAGTCCCTACAAGATCCGCCAAAACGTGTTACACAATGGGGCCCCATTTGCCATATTAAGAGCTCCCGAAATTGGTCTCTTGCCTTGTGGTTACACAATGCATTTTAGTGCTAGGCCACCTCCCAAACTTACCACGTTCTTGAGATCGTCTTGCAATGCGGTGACTCCTTTTGGTCCAGCTTCAATCATATACAACACAGTCTCCTTTGATGCCACTTTACCATAATTATGGGGTATTCCGATGATCCATGGTTCCTCTGGCTAAGAAGAAGTATAATTGACATGATGTCATTGGTTTGGAGAATGATATGACACCAAAACGGGTTAAGCCAAGCATTCTAATACTAAGAAGATCGATTTATGTCAGAAATCCTATTCATTATTTCCTGAAGTTAATTTTTGGATAAACAGAAGCTAAATTATTACATCTTGGAGGTAAAAAAAAGCGAAAAAGGAAACCACACAGTAGAGAAACAATACAATCTAAACTACTGTAACCGAACACAAAAGCTCTTTGGACGGAAGGCTAAAAGCATGGTGCAAACGGTTGTGTACGGGTACCGGTTGATCTAATGATTCCGCTTTATCCGCCGTGGCGAACGCAGTCGAGAAAGTCGATCCTGAGGACTCCTCTGGAAAAAACAAAGATTACTATACTCGAGCTGTTGTTTCCTCACCGCCGTATTATAGACGGTCGCATTGGAGCACTGTTTGGCTGGGTGTAGTTTTTATTATTGATCTACTCTAGGGTGGGTTATCGGTGGATCATCTAACGGCACATGCTAGATGCAGTGGGTGGCACTGTTGGGCAGATTTGTCAACTGCAACACCGATAAGTAATTGTGGTTTTAAAATCCCTGGTGTACAAAAGCAAATGAATGGTCTTGAGAATGTGACACACTATGCATTGCACTCATTTCTTCAAATTATCGACATTCTCACATCTGTTTTAATGGACGATTTCTCGGGTTGTTTACAAGGATTTATTTTCTGTCTTCAACCTTACTTCCTAACCGATGGCAATCGAAACCTAACGTATATGCCTGTTAGCTTATGCTCAATGATAGACACACACATTGTTCACGTGGGAAGATGTTAATTCATGGGCAACCACTATTCTTACTGGTTGCGTTTAATACAAGAAGTATCATATCACTTCAACACATAAAACTGGTTTGTCAGTTGTACAGATAGTGAGCTATATATCAGATAAACATTCTAACAACTCACGCAAAATTATTTTGCAGCATTTAAACTCCAAACATATCGCAACGGATTTGGTATATTTTCCGAGAATAGTTTGAGTTTTCACACAATAGATCCCCTCAACATACTACTGGCAGTAGGTTATCCGAAATTCAAAAGCGCGGTACCTGCCACAAGACTCTAACTCATCGGCCGCAACAGCAGTCATACGGTGAGTAAACCGGAGAGGAGTAACTACAGACACCAGGTGTCAGTCTGCTGATGTCTTCGATGTGTCGTGGCCATGTCCGTAGACCACACAACACGGCGGCACAATTCATGCCGTCCTTTTCCAGTAAAAGACGAGTATGCGAGCACTCACATAGTATACATGTAAACCAACCCCAAAGCAAATGCAGCATCAGCACTCCTGTCAGTAATAGTTGCGCTTTCTCCATACCGAAGACAGGGTTGGATATACATCGCTTTCTCGATCCAGTGCCGCTAAGCAGTGACTGCTGATTACGCACACGGGTTAACAGCAAGCTCAGAATCCTCCATCTGTTCGCATACACCTGTTTAACGTCACCGCAAATTGTGTTTCATTTATTCAGGCGACCACTGAGACTCGCCGCCTACACAACGTGGAACCTAACAGGCTTGTTCATCCAACTCATCAGGCAGCCTAAGTAACATAAAACAGTGGTCAATTCGATAAAGGGGTCCGATGGTGCGCACAGCAACCTTTTGCAGAAGTTTTACATACCTTTCTGACCATGTTGATAAAAGGAAATGTACTTGCTGGAAAGTTAGTGTAGGTATCCCAGTTTTCCACGAGAACGTAACACCAAGAGACGTGAGGACCACATGAATCGACAGTTGCGAAGAAGCAAATCAGATAACTTGACCATTAGGAATACAAATTACAAACTCACCAATATAACAGTTTTACGATTCTTTATCGGTTCAATTGACACTAAGCGACCAATGCTTTCTGTGTGTCCAGGGATTGGCGGCCAAGGAGCGAGAGGCTCACTGAAGGAGCACACCAAATTCTCCTTCTTCCTTAGACAATCACTCGGAGCTCTAACGTAGCAAATTATCTCGCCATCTGTGGTAAAGTACCTGAAGAGGTGGTGGGGTTATCGTTTTAACATTCGGCAATTGCTGGTAAACAATTAAGGAACCTGCTTATATATATATATATATATATATATATATATGCAAATGTAGATAAAACAGAAGACAACTGAAGGCCAACGTAACAGTGGAAAGGTTGACAACACGTCCACCACCAACCACAGTGCTTAGTCATGTCCGACGGTGTTCCCAATTTGCGGGACTCATGAACTCTGGGTTTCTAATATAGGCATGAGCTCATGGTCGAGTTCAGCGCTTTCGAACCTCCTGAAGACCTAGTGAGATCATAGAAAGCTGTGATGCCTCAGTCCTGCTAGGGGTTCGATATTTAAGCTACGAAGATGATACATAATGCAGAAGTTAACAATCAGTTCACGTCACTTTATGCCAAATCCATTGCAGGGATCAACAGACACGTGTTGTGTCTAATCCACAAAGTCCAACTACACATGAGTTAATCGTGCGGGCTTGACTTGGCACGAGTACTGACAAGCCGTATACTAACACGACGACGTGCAGTGGGCTGAACCTGAGATTTTGTTACTGTGGCTAGGAGAGCTCAGTATTCCGACTGCTGCTGGACTCAAACGTCCGATCCAATTGGAAGAGTATGCGGTTCAGTTATCGCCACGTTTAATGGCGGTATGCGTTTCCGCCATAAATAACATCAAGGAGGCACAGGTTGAAAAGACTTTGGTCGGCCACTGATCCATCGCACTTGCCATCTGGATGCCCCGTAGCAGATATTCCGAGTAACACGCAATATGAGATGTGTGAGTGGAACTGTGGATAGTGGAGCACATAATCCTCAAGACCTCTGTGCACATGCAGAACCTTTTGGAACCCATGAAACTAATCGCATTCGCCATGCCATTTCTCCGTCAAGTTGGCTCATACTTGTGGAGTGCTATTCTAAGAGCCAAACCAAACGCTGGGTACCGGCCCAAGTTTATTATCTGTAAAGTAGGACATTGTCTATACTGTACATAAGTGGACAGCGCTATTTGGTCGCGACATCTCCACATTGGTTACTTTCCATCTTTTGCGTCTTACGTGATCTGTCAGTATTTATTGGTTCGTAAGTTCTGCTTTGTTCGACCCCAGTAATGCTTGAACACATCAGCTCTCCTTTGTCTCTCTGACTAGCGCAAATGTTTTGTCCGCTCGCGACTGTTCCAGCCAAGCCACTTCGTCATAGTACGTGAAAAAGCTGTGCTTTGTTGCTTCTAGGTTGAGCTGATGCTCATCTCCCCGTCTTGTCAACGCATGACCAATTTCCGTAGACAACGGCTGATTAACCATTGGCTTGCCTACAACCAACTGGTCTGTGCTAGGTCCATATTTCTGTTCCTTCATACATCACCACAGACCCCTGTTTTCTATTCGAATTCTGGTTTTTCCACCACTTGACGGTACAATTGGGTTGTAAAAGCATATACAATATGTGTAATCCAATCTATTATTCAACCAACTAGCGCAGGTGCGCTATTTGTTTCAGGTTGTGCTAGTTGCAGAATGAAGAGTCAATTGATAGAGCTAACGGTCTAACAGCACATTTGATAAAATCACAAATTTGCGATTAAAAACCTATGAGATGCGCAATCCAGCCTTAAGTTGGTGCCTAGGTTAATTGCCCGCACCTGTCCTGTCTAGATCGTTCAATTTTGACCTGTGCGATTCGTGTGGTGACAAAATAGCTGGAATATGACTATCTTCGACCCCACGTACAGCTATGCGTGAGGAATGGTTACCATTGTAATATTTAATCGAAGCAGGTATAAAGTCAGATATAGCACACTGTAAACCTTTTGCTGCTCTGGAGATTGTTCTTCCATATTCTACTGACAATTCAATTACGAGATTAGACGGTAGCTTTTACTGCAACTCTAAGTGAGGTGGGGTCACAATGGGGAAAGCGACATGCCCTTTGCGCAGAGCATTTTGGAATGTCAAGTCAATAAGCTCACTCTGCTCCTCCTTGACTTACCTGTCCTCTCATTTCAAACGGATACTCCGTCTGTTCGCTGAAGTCCTGCTGGTGAGACCGTTTTGACTTCATTCATGGCGGGATTGATCACGCACCCCATTTACTTCAAGTTTGATCCCGTGTTCCACACATGCACACCGTCGCAGCTGCCTTCGTCTTCATTTAAAAACTGTGCTGGCTTCGCCTTGCCTCTAAGTCCCAGGCATTGCGGTTTAGACCAGTTCGTAAACTAACACCTGCTCCCACACTCCGAGTATCCAATGCTATCACCTGGACACTGCATTTAGTAGAGCGGATGGCTGAGGTTCGTGTAACAAAGCCTCACCACATCAGTGTATGCTACCTTGCCTGGGCCTAAATTCAATGCGACCAATTTTTGTCCCCCACCCCAAAGCGCGATCGTTCTGTACCGCAGGCGGGTCTAGATTAAACAACCTTGCTGATGTATAGTAGAAATACCTCTGGCTGATAGCGATTGACTACTTAATACAATCTTGGATGAAATTTTGACAATTATCGGATTGTATTTATGCGCTACGGAGGAAGGCTGCTGACTTGCGGATGAAAGTGTTTACATTATGGATGTAATCCATTTAGAAATGGTGTAGTTCTTTCACGTTATTTCTAATCCAAAAGCGCACGATGAAAATAAGATCTACATTCTTCGCCCCGTGATACACCTCCCTAAACGTGACGTGAAAGTTACCACTGGTGGGGATATCGGGTAGTATTTTGGAGAGCAACCCAATATGTTCTCTTGTGGAAGGTACTTCGGAGTTTGGATTCCTTAATCTTCTCAATTATGTTCAAAATGTACTTGTGCCTCCACGCCGAATACGCTACTCAGCCTTGTCAACATTGTCTAAACGGTGACCTCGTAAAGCTTGAGACTCCCAACGTCGAGCGTCATAGAATGTCAAGGATTTGCGAAACCTTCCATACCAGGAAACATTGAAGCTGCTCGGAGTATTCAATGGACGCTGCCGGCGGCTACGTGGAGACCTTATATTCGTATACCAAATAGTGAGTAACCCCAATCACACTGTTGGAGGTGCAAGTAAAATACAAGTATGCAACTGTAACCGTTCATGACTGCAGACATTCTTTCTACCATCGAGGTTCACCGATGTTTGTTTTACCGCATCATTTCGTCATCCCTATTGGCTATTTGTAGTCGTTGTTTTTGCCTTCAGATCGCAGGCATACTTTGACGCTATAACTCTCACCTTACGTCCTTTATGTGCACTTGACTGGTTCCCCATTTGTTCCGTTCTTATTGAATTTAATTGTCCGCATGCTTTCCGCATCCTGGTTGGATTCCATGTTTGTGCGTTATGCTATATAAGTAACTGGTTTCCCTTTGTGAAAAACCCTTGAATCTCTGTCCCTGGTCGCTCGTGTTCTTACTATCGTTAGTGGGTGGAAGCAGTCGCGGGGCTCTGACACAACACACATATACTGCCACCTTCCAAAGCTCAGGCTAAAGACCAACCTGATGTGTTCAATTATATTTAAGTCAACGATAAGGCAACGAACTATAGAATAAACCCTTTTCCTATGTGTCATACAAAGCTACTACGCTCCTCCAAACTAAGTTGTTTGTGCCTCATTTTAACCATCCTTAAAAGATGTTTACATTGCGCTCAGCGCATGTGTCGCAGAACTCAGTCGTTCAGGGATCAACGGTTTATTCGACAAACTTAGCTCAACAACATTGACAGCATGACCAGCCTGTAGAATCCTCGAAATAAATAACTAGTTCAGTTAAAAATGCTAACGACGTTACTTCCTGCATGAGATCCTTCCTTTGAATCAGTCAAACAAACTCTAGCGCTGCCAAATATGAACCAATCAATGTAGAGGCGAAGATGAGTAGGCGTCCAATCATCTGCATCATTCGCTTGCGGCAAGCTAGCCGTTTGCTACGTCACGTAAATCCGTTCTGCTCTTCTGCTTGCATAATCCCATCACAATATGGACGGGTACACTTAAGTGAATTCCAGTGACAGCGGGTTTAGAATTATAATCAGCTCTGATTCAGAGAAATCAGCTCAAATGGGGAAACTACCCATGTTTATTTGTAAAATGCTTTGGCCACTGTTTTACATGGTACAACCTCATTTCCCAAAATTGATTCTAATGTACCAATATCCTGTTGCATCAGTGCTACTCGCATTCGTTTGTCGCGACTTATGGTTTTTGCTTTTCTGCATCACCCTGATAAACCTATGAAACCTGTTAGGCAGGTGCCTTTTCACGTCCTAAACAATTGTTTCGTTGTTCCGTCACCGCCAGTGACTGGAGTTACGAGTTTTGCCAGTATTTTATCATTGGGTTAGAGAGACATGTGTTTATCATACTGTATCTGCTCTGCTGAAAGATATGGTGCGGTTACATGTGATCCACTATCTAAAGGTGAAAGCTTCTCCACCGCGTATTGAGTACCGCATATTTGAACACTCATGAGTAAAGGATTTTTGCTGTATTTTTACTGAGGGTTCGTCGTTGTAGACTGCAAGCCAGCTGCCAGCCGCTCATTTGGAACAGTCCTGAAAGGTCACTTTCTTCGACCGGCAATCGCCAGTGGTACTCATCACTCGGACTCTATCAGGAACCGAAGCCATGACATCTAAGCACCAGTGACTTGTGTCCATGGCCAACAGTCTTTGCCACTAGATCACTGGCGGCTTGCAAAGTGTATAACAAATGTGGAACGAAATCAATCGGATACATCTAGTTGGGATATCGTCAGATACATAGCTTGTAGCGCCCCAAAAGAGAACCACTATATTTTATGTATACTTTCATTGTTGACCAATTGTACCTTACTCTTTCTTGTTTCAATTTCCCTTACACCCGGCTCAGCACTCGTCTGTTCTGTAAGTTAACCCACTAACATCTGCTCCTGTCCCGCTTCATCCGTCAACGCCCTTTTGTAGCCCATCGAATATAGTCTGTTATGTCCGACTCCAATCGCCTTCTGAGATCCACGCTCTAT